ATTTTATGGTTGTTTATTCGTGGACGACAAGTGTGCCAACATCTTGCAAAATGCTAAAAGTACAAAGAAAATGTTAAACTCCATGTACAAGAAGAATCATTGAAGCAGTTATCATCTCATCTATGATGAAACCAGTCTTTCCAGTACACCAGGAATAGAAATCCACAGTCAAGACTGGAGTCCTGCCCACCTCTCCCAAACACCTCCTTGGAGGAAACATCGCCCCCTTTGCTAAGTTGAAGAAGGGCAAGGGTTGGTGAGGGTGAGCCTTGCACAGTAGTAGTTCGGTTCATCCCTCTGTTGTGTTCAGTTTCTTACCTGTACATGTACAACATGTGCTACAAGTATCCCCTTCTGTTAGCAAAACTAACACAATTTACTTTACTTGTTATGGTTTATGATGCATGGAAAGAGTTTTCGCATGTTTTGTTGGTTGGTTGGTTGGTTGGTTGGTTGGTTGGTTTGCTAATCATGTAATGATGATGTTGAAGTAGCTGTCTGTGTGCAGTAGGAATAAATGTCTATGTTAAATTTCAGTGATTTCCCAGCGGTGGGACAAGGACATCCATGATGGGTACAGGCGGCTCAGCGATGGTGGGCGCAGCTCCAAGAACAGTTCCTGGGACGGCAGGTTGACGTCGTCTTCACGATCCATCGACGAGCTACTGGAGAGGTCCAACAGCAAGGGATACGGGGCTAAAGGTTGGTGTGACTTGAAATGGAATGGGAATTAGTAGTGCTGACTTCTATGTCACTACTGAAAAGGGTCACACTCTTGACTCCTAATTTGGTTATGACGTACATGTATGATCTTCCTCAGATCTTGAAACTAAGATACCAACTCTGCAGACAATCTTTGTCCTAATGCAAACACCCTTGTTACTTTGCTTGTGCTTCATCAGTTTGTCCCTGTTGTTGCAGTGCTTTCCTGGGAGGGAGACAGGAGTTACGTGGACCGGGATGCGGACCATGACAGGCACTTCCACCGAGGTGTGAGGGACGAGTGGGATGAGGAGTTGGACAGGGGGAAGGTAGGACAACTGGAAATTTGTCATTTTTCTCCTTAGGTAGGGAAGGGAAGTCTTCATGGTGTCTGTGGTACAGTGGTAATACAATTGATACGTATTTTCAAAAATTTTTTCACAAAAAGATGGCATGTATACAAAGAATAAGTAACACACATTCTTTGCATTTTTTTTTACAGACAAAAAAGGTGAAATCACACAGGTCTGAGCATTACCGTCGACCCTTCAATGTATTCCAGAAGATCTCAGATGCCAAGCATAAATACAAGGTAAGACGGAAAGGTTTGCTACAGTACTTCCTGACCTGGAATCAACTTGCTTTTAGGCTACTCTATTTCTATAGGTAATTAAAAAATGAAATTCAATTTCAAGTAAACTTTTCGTTGTTTATTTTGCATAGATAGCTGTACACTGGTATGTTATATATCTGTTGTTGTGCTCACTCATCATGCTAAGTTCCTAAAATACAGATGTTCCTGATAAATTTACCTTAGTAGGACAAACGTTGTGAAAGGCAGCATTTCATTCTTGTGCTCCTCCTTTTTTTACAGGCATATCGGGATGGCTACAGTAAACTGCAACCCAGTCATAGCTGGCATGGTCGCTAAACCAGACCTGGCTTGGACAGAGGTTTTGTGTACATCTTGGACGATTCTTTTCCCAATATTCATTTTCCCTCGTATTAAGCAACTGCCACAACTATATAACTTGCAAAATTGTAAATATGCCATGTACAGACACTGGCCTTCAATAAGGACTCCCGTGCAACATTATTATAATCAATATTGATATCCCCTTTTAATTTGTAAGTCATTTACAATGATAGATCACATATCTCATCAAGTCAAGTTCTATATGCTGCAATATGTCTTATTAAGTGTTATATCAATTATATACAATAGTATTTCTTACACAGAAGTGTGAAGTTGATGCTGTACTATCTCAATTACGAGTTGGTGCTTGCCACAGTACAATGTGTTTACAGCTGCACAATAAGGCAAAGGTTGCAATAGCAAGTATGTCAGTATCTTCAAAAGGGGAAACTTCTCTGCCTTTATGTTGTGTCACACAGCTTGCATGGGGACCACAGCAAACTTTGTGACACAAGATGAATCAAAGCTGGGCCATGATGAGGAAGATATTGTATATAATTCATTACATCCAAATTTCCATAACCCTAGCGGTCTAACCATAAGGCTAATTTTCTAATTTGTTTTTGCAGTCTTTATTTTTTTAAGATTCTTGGCCTCAGCAGAAATCTATAAAAGCACTAAGGTTTTGTTTTTTTCATAACTCTGGACATTACAGAGCCCCTTTATGCCAAAGTTCGTATGCACCCCAGATTTATATAAATTTTTTTGTAATTTTCCCTCTCTTTAAGTACTTTACAGAATAGAGTGGAGTAGTATAGTACAAGCCATGGCATGATATACTACTCAAATTTTAATATACTTTACTGCCATAAATATATGAGATGTGAGATACTAAGATGTACCTGGCATTTTTCAGGTTTGTAATTAGACTTGGAAACCAGGAAGAGTGGTTTCCATCTAGCTGCCACTACGATGATGTAATCCTGAATAAATTTTACCATCTGCAAACACTCAAATTTCGCGAGTACATGTCTTCTGTGCAGAAAGCTGGATGTATTCTGCTGCGTTCATACATATGCCTGATAATGGAGACCCCTTACAGGACATTAAGGAAACTACTGTATTACTGTCTTACAGCAATGCATTTTACAGAAAGGAGTGCTAGTATTTCATTTCCCTCTTTGTGCATATTACTGTCTTAGCAACTTTTTTATGGAAGGAAACATGTATACAATATACATGTAGTACATCAGTTTGAAAGGTGCCACTTCTCTTCTCACAGTAAATGTTGAATCTACACACTGTTGAGCCTTCTTTAGGGGACTGCTGTGAAAAATTATACACATATATTATACATGATGTATATCCAAGTTGTGATTGGTAACCTTCTGTCAGAAGTAACTAGAATGCAAGAGTCACTTGGAATGTATATGGACGTTTTCGATGATGGTAATTGTGTACACTCACAGATATATCTGAATGTACATTGTAAGGAATATTGTAAACTGTAACTTTAAGACAGTAACCAGACAAGGGCTTCTGTGACAAGAATTAGATTCAGATTACAAGTTTACAGCCACTGTGTTCTCCAAGACTGAAATCTTACTCAGTGCTGCTGTCATTTAACAGCATAAGGAAAGCCAGGAAGTTTCCAATGCTCCTATGGAGTGTATGGTGAGGATATAATCTCCAGGCAAATGTTGGGGATGCAAAGTTGTTACGTTTTCCCTAGCTGCCCTTTTCTGCTTTCCTAGCCTCCCCAACATCTGCTTGAAAATTTAGTGTGTACAACTTTCTCAAATATGCCTGAACCTGCTCGGCTGTACTTGGGGTATGTGGGGTTACAGATATTGCCAGTACATGTACATGTGATTACAAGTCAACATAAGACTCTCATCATTCAGCAAGACCCTTGTCTAGGCTAGTACATACAGTCTGTGGGGTGGTATGATACTAATGATTCTGCCAGCTAGTGGATGATGGAGATCTGTTGTACAACTACCCACTGCAATCACTTCATGGGGATTGTAACTCCCCATACTACTACTGACCAATTCTGGGGATACTGTCAACAAGGCAAGGTGTAGTCACAATTGCAGTGTCTAACTGCAATCACCTGTTGTGTACAGTCTAGTATGGTACAGAAATGCCAGCGGTTATATGTATCACCGTGTATAACCAGGCCCTAATCTCCCAGCAGAGAAATCTACTTGGAGATAAGCCCGACCTTATTGTGGACCCATCTCAGCTCTGTACAAGTAAATATACATGTAAACAGCTTCGTCCTGTCGTCTACCCTCCATCACTTGGTTCAGGCGGGAGCTCCCCCAGGTTAACGGCCCCAAGGAACGTCTTCTCGCGGTCGATGAAGATTCTCCCGCTGACAGTCGCCGTCAAGTTGATCATCATCCCGTCCTGGAGAGGGACCACGCCTGCGGTGAAGCACGAGGTCGGTGCGTTGGTGCCCGGACCGGGATACTTCTGCCAGCAGGTCAAGAACTTGGGCGGGTTCCTGTTCTGGTCGTCGGAGATCACAAGGATGGACAGGCCGTTATAGCTCTTACTTTCCACGATCTGCTGTTCGTCGTAGGTTAGCTGGAGAGTGAGGGTAACAGAAGTATCATGGTGAACGGGTAGTAGTGGTACTGCACTACTGTAGCCTCCTTCGCAAAATTGTGGGCCTGCGGCGTTATTTTTTGGGGGGAGCGACGCGACTTATGGAGGGACGGTTTCCCGGCAAACACCCTCGTCCCTCCACGACATGAGTCGCGTCGCTCTCCGAAAAAAAAAAACGCCACAGGTCTTCGAAGACCCCACAGGTCTTCGAAGAAGGCTAGCACTGGTGGTAGAATGGCGAACAGTACAACTGTATTGGGAGTAATGTTCAGAAACTACCGCTATAGTCATTCGCAAGGGATACCACCACTTCCTGCTTTCACACCACACAAAGGTTACTGTAATGGATAACTTTCTCTAAATGTCAATGCCATTAGAGGGACTTCATGACGCAATAGTTACCTAATGCTGTATGCAAACAAGGTTGGCCGACACAATTTCGTACCTGGCCATATACAAGGTAGACGCCGCTGCCTTGAATGGTGGTCGTCTCCTCGTCCCCAGAGCGCTCAGCGACATCCCGAGACGCAACCTTCACACTCAACACCGTTTCTTTCGAAAGAAAAATGACTAAATGTTGACACATTCTATAGTTAATTAATCAGCTCAAGACAATATTCACAGTCCACGATGATTATCGCGCGTAGAAACAGTTGTACCATGGACATTATAATGTCCTTGGTTGTACTTACCGCGCTCGCTTACGTTTCTACGGTCGCCAGGCCATTCAGCAACATCTGTCAAATTAGACACGAGAATACAGACTTAGTGATCGCATTCTGATTGCATTCAATTTGCGTATTTGGGATATTTGATAGCATATATGCATACACTCTTAAAAATCAGGGCACAGGAGCCCAAGGCATATATTTTGGGGGTAAAAACAGCCCAAGCAAATCTCAATACAATCCACACATTTTCAAACTGTTCACAAGTCCAGAATAGCACCACAACCTCTCGGAATGTTTACTTTGAACATAAAAGAAGCCTTGAACTTTTTCTTATACTTGTATCTGACGGTACTGGTTAAAAGAAAGAGTGAACGCCTACCGTCAGGGTGGGTGTGGTGGACGTAGCTCCTCTATGAAGATAAATAACATTGTAAGAAATTATGCTTCAACGTTGGATTTTGGTAAAAAATATTGGCATTTTTGCTCGTAGAAAAGCGCAAAGCTATACAAGTCACCATTTCGATGTGTAGAGTTTTCTTGCAACTAAGCCATCCCAATTCAAATTGATGTACTGAGGAGAAAAGGGATAGTTACTAAGAGTCACGATTTGTTCGTCAAAGGTCGTACGTTACAAACTCGCAGTAGATTAACAAGGTAAATATGTTCTTACAGTGAGCATTTTTTTCACGTCCCGAGTGAAATTCTGTCGGAGTTCGCGGATCTCTGTAAGTGCATCGAAGAATCCGTAAGTGTCTGTGTCTGTGTGGACATACACAGGGCGGTAGCATGAACTAATTGTCTTTAAGAAGATTCAAACTAGAGATAGGACATACTGGATATAGTAGAGGGGATTCATTTCTCAAGCTACCGCGTGTGCAAGATGTCGGTAGCTTGAGGAATGAATCCCCTCTACTATATAGAGATAGGACATACTGGAGTAACTTTATCAAGTGTACCTCACCGGATTAGTATATACTAATCTGGAGGCATGATGATGATTATGAAACTAACATCAATCTGACCCAAAAAGAGAATACTAGTACATATAGCCACTAGTGCCAAAACACACATCCAAAACACAATGATATCAAGGGCCGGGGAACCTACCGTTTCTCATGCATTTAGTAACTTGGCTGCATCTCTTCCTCTGGCGGTCCCTTTTCCCTAAGGATTCATACACGTCAGTTAATTACTATTATCTTCGTGAGAACATTTTATGAGCTATATCATAAAACAGTGTATACGCCACATTACAGTTAATATACCCACTAACATAGATTCTATCACAATCAACGCAATGCTCACGGTTGTCTTATTCCAGCTTATAACATGCATGTGTTCAAAGATTTTTTCGTGTTAAGAAATAGTACATATCCCATATGCTACAATAGTGTATTTGATGGTACCCTGTAACAACCTTCAACAAACAAAGGCTAACCAATAGTGCGGTACCATCGTCTCTGTAGACAATAGTAATAGTATTTGATGGTACCTTTAGATCTTTTGTTGCGACTTTGCCCAAACTTTTCTTCGTCCTCTTCCTCGTCCGCTTTCCATCTGGCCAGTTGGATGGTCTGCAGGACACAGCATAGGGGACCTGGGTGTTAACTTCATAACATGAAAATGATTCTTTATGATCATAATGCTACTCTGTCTGGATTCCTTAAGTTACAGACAGAGCATATGAATATCACTCCTTTACAACTGAGTCCAAGAACTAAAGTCAGAGACAGCTCTGATCCTCATTTCGTTCAATACGGCAGTTCGTATGCATTTGCACTTGTACATTTAGTGTCGCTCTCCAAATGTTTTCGTGCCCAGCATGAAGCTGCCACGCATTGGAGAAGTTCGCACTGTTGTTTACCCTCAGAATGCCTTTCCCTACGTGCCTCCCTGGCATCCTTTAACGGAGTTACGTAACAGTACACTTGCCCGCGAAGTCAATGTGTTTGTCAATAGGGAGCCAGACTGATCTACTGACCCTGCCTATGACATTGTTGGCTCCGTTCCATTGCCGACTAATAACATGGCTACATGTTGTGGTTTGGGTAAGTTATGGTTGGTGCGGTCGCGGCGAAGTCACACACTTTGAGCACAAATGAAGTTTCGTTTACGAATGGAGTAGCCCTCTTCGCAAGGATGTTCTCACGTGAAAACGGGTATAAACAGTTAACCGTTGCTTGACAACTTCAACCTTCTCTTTGCAGACCGTGCAGTGTGTATGTCTGTCACACACTTTGGGCACAAATAAAGTTTCGTTTACGAATGGAGTAGCCCTCTTCGCAATGATGTTCTCCAGTAAAAACGGGTATAAACAGTTAACCGTTGCTTGACAACTTCAATCTTCTCTTTGCAATGCTTGATGATTTGTGTATATTTAGTACTTTTATAGAGTAGAGAGATTAAGAAGAAGAGGAGGACGTAATATGCATTAATTTCTTTAATATCGGTGTAAGTCGAATATGTCATTTTATTCGTCTGAAACAGCGTAGAAATTACGGTACATGTTAGAGGTTTCTTTGAATAATTCTTTTTTAAAAACCGCTATAGAAATAGCTGTAGTTAGCACCATGGCATACACAGGTAATTTTGTACACGCCCATTTTCTATTTTAATGGATGTACAATAATTTACTCGTGTTTTTCCGAGTTTAATTGAATAAAAAAAACAACACCCCCCCCCGCTCACGCCCAAAAGAGCATGGCAACAAGTCAGCAAACATACTGTGATGTATAGCATCGTCACAAAGGCATTTCCGAATCCACTCAAGATGCACAAAACAACTGGTTGCTATGTACATTTGATTAGGTACTTCCTTGTCGCCTCGTCTATTTACGTTGGCAACTAAAACTTAAGAAGTTTTTTTAACGTTTTTTTTTCTACGTGACACAAGTTACCTAGACAAACTTGAATTTGTTACTTTGACAAGAATTTCAATAAAAGTTCATTGACCCATAAAACCGACTTTGTTTTTTTTAAACCTAGTAGACTTGTTCTGTTGCAAGCTTTTGGCGCATAATCTAGTCACAGAAAGATGTGCTGAAAGCTAAAGTAAAGACAAAGTCCCTCTGTAGCACAGCCAGGTCTTTATCTGAGCTAGTAAAAGTCGTCCTCAGTGCGAGTTTTCATGCAAGAATTATAGAATCAAGTCTGCTTACGTCCTTTCAGCTAATGCGCTATTTCTGTTCCCCATAGCGATTCTTGTTTCTCCGCTCAAACCCTTGGCAGTAAGGCTCATTAGTCTGAGCAACCCTCTCCACCAGCGAGGTGTCGTACAAAGTATGATGGGACCTTAGTCGCACGTTTGCTATCTAGTATATCTAAACTTTCTTTTGCTCCCTGTTCCTCAAATATACGACGCTAAAGGCACTGAAAATAGTGCAAGAATACAAGCTCGAATGGACCCTCTTAACTCTAAAGACTATTGCCCAACATCTATATCACATTGCCTGTTGATCTGCAGAGTAGTAGTTACTAGTGCTCGCTTACGAATCTTTGTCATTCGGCCAGAATGTGGTCAGAAAAACTTCACCTTCACCTTCACCTTGTCCCTTCCTCTTCTGGAGGGTCGGGGACTGTGGTAGCATTCAGCAGAATGCTGCCACAGTCTCCGGTGGTCAGAAAAACACATCACACAAATAAGAGGGGGGGGGGCGATACTTCTTACTGAGAGCACAAGTCTATATTAGCATTGCGACACCGACGTCCACACCGACACCGTAAGGTGTCATTGTAGTTTGACTTGGTCTTGATTTCATCCCTTGGTACTGAAAATTCAACTTTTTGTGCACGTGTGTGTGCATGCAGGTCTACGCCTGGGTATATTCAATGGTGCAAACATTAAACGTCAAGGATTCCCGTGGGAATCCTGTGGTTAGTTAACTCACGTCTGGGTCTGTGTCGGGGGTCTCGACGTCTTGTAGGCCCGACGGTCCCGAGAGTGACGTGACGGGCGCAGAGTGTCCCTCCTCCGCACGCCTCCGTACCTCACAGCCGCAGCGGTGATCCAAATCCTGCACGATCTTCTGCACCCAGAACAGGGTGAAAAGAGAGAGGGTAATGGCGACCACGCTGAGGCAAACACAGGCAAGCTGCCACCTGGAGATGGCAGTGCCGTGGGCCCGAGAACACGCCTTCTCCCCTCTCTCGTACACAGTCGTGCAAGCCATGCCTCCCTGCTGAGCGTTGTTATGGTTTAACAACAGAAGGAGTGAGAGGTGAGGTTATGTACGCACACGAGCCGGCCTGATGTGAACAGCTTCTAGTTAAAGTGTTGCAGGTTCCAGGAATGAAACCCAGAACCCCCCTCGTGTGTTCACGTGTTTGAGAGAGGTCGCCCAAGGCTGGAGGTGAAAGGCCTTTCCCGCCATACCACTTGTGAGACAGACCTCAGACATGACCACAGGAAGCACCCATAATAAAGGACCTGTGTACTTAGCTTTAGCAGTCATACTTAGTTCTGGGACTTGCGCCAACCGATATACTCTCGAGTCTCGACTGTTTGTTTGACTGAAATGTTGAACTGTTTCATGGGATTTTTCAAGTGTGGACGAGATTATAAACTAGAGGCTTCTTAACTTGCACAGTGAATTGTATCAAGGAGCTTTCATCGCATAAGCCCGCAAACTTACCCGAATGACGACTAACGTGTTTGATGTCTTATAATCAGATCAGATAGAATGCTTCACGTCGACGAAGTGCACTGTTGCTCTTTGTAAACTTGTGCCATTTTGCGCTCTTGCACTAGCTGCCGCCACAACTTGTCGCAAAGGGACAACCTTTTGTATGGCAACTGAACTGCATGGGCGTACAAAGTTTAGCACAACTCAAAGTTACTCGAACAAAGAACGTCAACTCGTACACAAGTTTGGCACTGAAAGACCTATGAACTATCTATGGTTTTGAATCTACAAAATATCCATGAATAGCTTTTGCATCCAGATCCGCCATTTCTTGACCACGGAGGGCGAACTCGGGAGCTGAAGGATTCAAGGCGGCAAGCTCAATTTATTCGGGCCGGACTTCCGCCAGCTTTTGCCTTACCAATGTATCATACGGGACCGACCTTGTCACAAACTTTGCCTCTCCTGTTTTTGTTTTGTTGACCTTTTGGGAGTTTCAACTCTACCCCGATGACCCAACACGGAAATAAGATACGCATTCTATTCTGAGGGGCTGTTATTGTGGTAACTAAGTGGTTTATGACGGACTTTGACCGACCGAACACCCGATGAACATGCAACACTCGGTGACCCTACTGCAACACGGAAATTCTGAATACAGTGGTGCTCGTACGAAGCGCGGTGAACACTTTTCTCTGGGGTATTCACACTATATCCTGCAGGAAAATAGAATTCTGCTTTTGAAGCTTTGACAATGGCACGTATTTTTGGTATCTTGGCAGCAAAAAGTGGTACTACCGGGTAGGGTACCAAAGATTAGGTACCAAATGTACAAACATTGGTCACTCACTCACACACACATACACACACACACACAAACACACAGACTCACTCACTCACACTCATCCTCTTGTACGTGGCGCGTAGTTTCACTAGGCCTGGCCATCTTCGCTTGGCCTCGCCATCTTACTCTGTCTGAAAGGTGTAAAAAGCCGTGAAAGATTTACTGACCTCGCACTTGGCGATGCATCCGATGTGCGCAACATTGTTCAATGACGACTTTCTTCTCTCATTGATGAGGTGATGAATCACCTCATCGATGTGGTGGTAGATATGTATGCTCACTGTGACATCGTCAATTGACAAGTAAATCCCCGTGACCAGTCCGTCTGCCTACAATGCTCGCTCTGATACAACTACGTGTGTAGCAAGCTCTGAAAACTTATTTATAAGTCGCCACTTCCTCCTCAACGGTACATCTAGGAAGCAGGTTTTTCCAAGAACTCATCGGCGTTTAGTGCAGGTTTCCGGGAAGCGTTCGGATGGCGTTTGTTTTCTGTCAAATGTTTTTGGCATGTTGTCAAGTTCTTTCAATGATCATGACGTTTTAACGTGGCTTTTGCGTAATTAATGGTACCCTGCAGTCATTAATATATGTGTGGGAAATTTGACCAACATGTCTCTTGTAGCATTTGGTTGCCTTGAGTTTCCTTGCAATTACTTGCATAGTACTGCAGGGTATGAATAACAACTAGTAGTCCAATTTCTTGCAAAGGTAACTTACAAGAGCAAACACCTGATTGGCACTCATCCAATGTAGATTGCCTATTCTTGTCCAACCTTCTCCTTGAATAAGACACTGAAATGACAAAAATTAAAATATACCCATTTTCAAAGCCTTATCATAGGTAGAGGTCACAAACATACAGATGGATTAAACAAACTGAATTGACGAAATCTTTCTAAATTATGTGAATTTATTGAGATATACATATATATCTTCTTGTGGACTAACAAAAATCACAAATTGTTGCCATTTTCATCACATGTGCAGTTAAGAATTCATCACAATGGTAACAATTCTCTTTGTTTTCTGCCTAACTCGATGGAACTCATACTTTTCTCTCTGTGGCGGGGAAAAGACAAACAATGATAAGAAAATTTGTATATGGATGGATTTAGGGAATCTTAAAAGCAGTACAGTTCTACAATTGCTTTAGCTTGATATCTATTTGTGGTAAACACACTCCGTTTATGTTAAGACATGCAGGAAATAAAATGTGTTTTTCTGACAAGACAGATAAAAATCAAACTACCCACTTAAAGCTATTATTTTTGATGAGGACAGGCAAACTACCTTCCACACAAAACAATTTGGGGCATCCTATACATGTATGCCTTCATCTACTGTATAGGTTAGCAATTTAGGCAGTAGGGAGAAGGTTAAGGTTGGTTTCCCTTCCCTTTCCTTACTTTTTCTTACAAAAAACTGCAATTTTCATCAGTTTCATGAAAGTAGTTCATTTCTATATGTTGGTCTTGTTGTTATTGAGCTGCTGCCAGTTGTGTAGAAGCTGAGCTAAGTTTGAAGATAACAGGGATTTTCTTCAGAGCAGGGTTGTCCTCCTGAAGTCCTTTGATCCAAGTGTTGAGAGACTCCTGGCAGCTACTGCCGGTGATGCAGATAGCAAACACCGGACCCTCAGGAACTGTGGGGAGGAAAGTAGTTGTTAGATTCTGCCAAACATGGAAAACACGGAGTTCTGCCAAACAATGAAAACACTGGATCACAACAAAAGATATGAAAAAAATGTATCAAACAAAGCGAATCACAACGAGAAAGTCCTGTTGTTCTGTCCAACTGAATGACCTGCTGTACTGACTGTGTGTCAAAATATCACCTGCAATATTCCCTTTGGCAGGTAGGAGGTGCTACATGACTAAAGCTCCAACTCAGTACATACCCTTTTGCATGCATTATCTTACATGTCCTTATGGTAACAAGGTATTCAGCACACTTCCAGTTTCTGATCCAAAATACATCAGGATACTCTGAGGAAAAAACCTGTTGGACTGCTTTTCTTGCCTTCAATGTACATTCTTATTGATTCTATAGCCCCTTATCATCATTAACAGAACTGCTTCCTGTGTACCGATGAACTCCATCAGCCTACCAGTAAAATTCACCAATGAATCATTTTCCTTACAGATTGATCACCTCTTGAACTTAGACTAAACAGAGAGATAAAACTTTATGGCTGCATCATGACGTAAGTGCCCCGCCTCAGCCCCCAATCACACACACTGCTGTAAACAAGGCCGGCATACGGTGTAAATATGGGAGCTAATTTAACAGCTCAGAAGTGCAGTCATATACAGCCGGGCAGTACTTGGCCCAGATAGTTGTTGATAAGACGCTGAACTGTGGCTTGGGCTTCGACATCCTTCACACCATTTCTGCTGCACTCGATTCCTTCCAAGACCATGACTAGATGAAGTTCACATCATCACAAGACTTCAGGAAACCCTCTTGATGTTGTTTCTTTGTTTGGTCTTTATGTGCAACAAGGCTCAGAATCAGCAGGGCGAGAGAAAGGCTTAGCCTCAACAATGTCCTTTAAAGCAACAGCAGAGGTGTGAAGTTTTCGTGGGTGTCTCAATCTGGACAAAGATCTCAACAGCTCTGCTACTGACCAGACAAAGTGTAGAACGGCTTACAGCTCCCACATCATGGAAGCTCAGCATGTCGCAAACCACGTCTACTTCACCGTGCTGGCAGCATTCGGACTGCCCACCAACATCCTGACAATATGGATCCTGATGCAGCGAAGGAAGCGTCCCAGCGAGAGGAAGTCCACATCGACTCTTTACCTGTCTGCCCTGGCAGTCGCTGACTCCCTTGTTCTCATCTTCATTGTCATCATAGAACGGGTCATTTACGGTTTGATCTTGGGCAGTCGAGTGTCCTTCAGACTCTTCTGTCCGTGGCTAATATGGCTGGACTACGGAGCCCACAATGCGTCCATATGGATCATAGTGGCATACACGACCGAGCGTTTTGTGGCCGTGCACTTTCCTATATGGAGACACAGGGTGTGCAAGCCGTCCACAGCAAAGGCCACCATCTCCATAGTGTTTGCCCTGTCCTACCTGTTTGCCTTACCCCACTTCTTCTCAGAGGAATCCAAGACTTTTATGAGTGGGAACACCACTTATTTTGTTTGCGACCTCAGGGAAGACATATCTGCTGAGTACAGACTGACCCTGATATGGGGACAGAGTACACTGTCCTTCTTCCTTCCCTTCCTGTTCATTATCGTCCAGAACGGACTGATCATACATCGGCTCAGAGGTCTCAGAAGAGTGCAGCAAGGCAACACGTCCTTGGTGGGAAACAATGGACTGAAATATTCAGGCTCTAATGTCGAAAGAGTTGAAAACTCCCCAGGAAGCAACAGCAGAAGAGCACAGAATATTACACCAGGTGAAACGCAACCGCCACAAGAGTTCTCAAGGCAGGAGCATACTCATGGCACAAGACCAAGGTCTGATACACAGGAGACACAGGAAAGGCCCCGGCTGCTCACCACTGGCAGTGTGTCTAACCCACGACTGGTTCGGGCCAAAGTTTCCACAATCACCAGCATACCTCTACGCCAAAGTACCCGCATATCCAACAAGCCCATCTACATCCTCCTCACCATTAGCACAGTCTTCGTCCTTCTGTGGCTGCCGCGACTTGTTTATTTGTTAATTGTGCGTATAAACAACATTGACAGGCACGGAGAGCTCGCCTGGAGGCTGGGCTCGGACATTTCCAATGCGCTGGGCCTGCTGAACTCCTCCATCAACATCTTCATGTACTGTTTTGCGGACAAGCGATTCCGTCAGGACCTGGTGAGGATCCTAACATGTGGAAGGAGGCAATCTGCACCAGTTGCAAAGAACATGATGCGAAATGCAGACACACTCTGTGGTGACAGCATTGAACATTGAACCAATGAACAGTAATGTCATAGTCTTACAAATTCCAGAAGAAGCTTGTTCATATAATTCACATTTCTGTGACACAGCATAGCTTTTGTGCAGTCTTTGAGTTAAAGCCAAAGTGTGATTCAGTCAGCTATTATATACTCACTACTCTGTAACTCATATATAGCTTCTTATTTCTGTGATACGAGTCTAGTGTATAGTACAGGATGTAACAGTAACAGGTTTATCAGAAGATTCGAGACAAATACTGCAACTAGTTTGAAAACAGAATGGAGAAGAATCTTCATGTTCTTGTGATTTTATGTACGAAGGCTAACAGCGGTCACATTCATGTAAAGTAAAGTCATTGTTAGCTTTTCTACTTATGAGACTCTTCTGTTTTATTGCACCTCCAATAAATGGCACTATAATGAAGATGTATGAGTGCTGTGTCATTTCTTTGATTGTTTAATGTTCCTTGCTCCAAGTAACAGAGGAATTACTGATTCCCTTCAAAGTCATATCTTAAACACTTCAAACCCAAGTATTTCTCCCCTACTTGTCAGAGGTAGGGCCAGAAATAGATACAGATACTTCCTAAGTTCTGAGTGGTGCAGGTCAAATTTGTCTTGCTACTGGCTGGTGCAGATAATTTTCAATGCTACCCAGGGCAGGTATGCAGAAAAAAGTATTGAATACTTTGAGCCCTGAATACTTTTGCACTGAAGATGATTCCAGCATGTTCATCTCCAACAAAATGCAAGTTGGTGCTGAAAAGAACAACACAGACTGGACCATGTTGAGTTTGGCTTATGTGAGGGTTTGTAACGATCATGCCTACCATTTTCCACAAAAGCAACTGGGTCCAGCCATCTTCTTCGTTCCTCATTGTTTTTGGTGAAGTCGTCTTCCACCCACTCCTTCTCCTTCATCCCCTGCTCTTTTGTTCCTTCCAGTAAGTCTGACCTGGAAAGTTAAGTACAACAGTCATTGTCGACATGGGATGTCATGTTTTCTAATCAGATATATTTGTTGCCCAAACTCCCTTTGAATTTAAAACACTGAATAGTATTTTACTGTAACCTATCAAATGTCCAGCAAATTTGACAGCTTTTTAACAAACCATGGGCCTTTTAAACTTGATTTTTTTTTCTCATATTTAGCAGAATAACTAAAAAAAAATTCACAGCCTTCTTGCCATACTATGCAAGTTAAAACAGAGCCTGACTTTGCAGAAGAAATATTGTGCAAGTGACTGAGCAGGTAGTACCTGAGTATGTGGTAGTAGACCTGCTTGTCTTTAAGCCACAGTCGGAAGCTCCCCTCCACATAGACTGGGACGTCCTGAGGATGTTCAGCAAGCATCTTCTGCTGCTCAACTGTCTGAATACTCGTCACATAGGTCTTAACCTGGGACTCAGTTTCATCATCTTCTCTCTGTGGATAAAAGGACACATCCTGTGAGTCATCAAGCCATAGGCGTGCTTAACCTACAGCCTGCTAATCTAGCTGTTTGGCACCAAATTTGTATTTGTTTACTAAGATTCTGAAGTAGGGAGAAGGTTAGGGTTGATTTCCTTTCTTTTTTTCTTCAAAAATGTACATCATGCCCTACTCATATTTTCTGCTGCAGCTCAAACATTGTAAGATATTCTGGCAGAAACAATACAGTTTTAACTCTGCAATGTGTAAAAGGTTCACAATGATAATAACCTATTTCAGCTCCCAAGTCTATATCTTCTTCGCACATAGCAGAGAGGATGCGGGGCTTGGGAGCTAAAATAGGTCTGGTAACCAGGCTACAAGTACAATGATAAGGCATTAGAGGTAAAAGAGAAATGACTACCCCGTAGCCAGTAATTACTTAATCATGATGCCCTAGTTCCTATACCTGATAAATCTTAAACTCAGCCTTCCTGTCATCAGCCATCCTCCTGAGTGCCAGTCTGGCCAGGTCCACAGGGTCTGTGGGGAGAGGGTCGGGTAAGGGGTAGGGGTTGATGTGTCTAAACTTGGGGAACCAGTACAGGATACGCCGGAACTTCTTCATGGGGTGACTACGGAAGCCAAACACCTTGATGATCAGGTCTGCTGTTTCTGCACTCGGCATGACACCTGAAAAATGACAATAGCGTCATATCACTTAATTGTAGAGTCAATATCATGGAGTGAATATTGTACTAAACTATGAACAATGTAAAATGAGTACTAAGTATGTAGCCGTCATATACATGTATTTTACAGTTATCGGTACGTAAATTCTATTGGTAAATTATAACATTGAATGCAATACTGGCCATGGTAACAGTTATCAGATTGCCTGTCTAACAAAAAACTATCAACACTGGTAACTGTATGTTTAACCAGCAAAGGATGATCAGAAACATTCATGGCTTTGCAGTAGAGTTGAAGAACAGAACATCTGTGAGGAGGACATTGGACATAGTTTCTGCTAAATGAAACTTGTTCAGCAAGAATTGAGCCGCATGTTACCATGATACTCCATCTGCTCCAGTATGGCTATGCCAGTCTCCTGCTGCCTGGGGTAGTGGTTGTACAGCGACTGGATGAAATTTGTGGGCACAAACACTTCCTTAGGGAACACATCGAATATCTTATTGTACACCTCCAAGTCTTTCTGCACCCCAAAGTCCTTCATCTTCGCCAGGGCGGCATAGATAAACTCCACATGGCCTCGTCGGCGGATGTCCTTCTTGGTGAAGTTGTCCAGAACCTTCAGGAAGTTTGCTTTAGTCCTGACCTCAGGGTCAATGTCTTCAAAGATCTGCTGGTGAAGCACAAGTGCTCGCGAGTCGTTCCTCTCCTGGGTGTCCTTTGCCGCCAGGTGCTGTGATGAGCTGTGCAGCTGTGCCGTTTTTTGTCTGTAGCTGCCAGATGGGCAGGCAGGTGCTTTTTGCAGAGCCCCACTGCAGGTAGTGTATACACTGTTTCTGCATTGTTTGAACAAACCTCCGGGAAAAGTTCTTGCACAGAGTTGCATTTGTCTGCTAAATATCCTGGTTAAATTGGCCATATTCACACCTGTAACATAAAAGATTGTAAACAAAAATTAGCATCTTATAATAGTTATATGAATTTGACTTGAACTCATCAGCATAGCATAGCATAGCATAGATCTGATCAATATAAGACCGTTAAATATGGATTCAATGTAACTGTCGTGTGTGATGTAATATCCATAAACCTAATATCCTACTTCACACTGTGATCCTAAAATTATGAAGAACAGGTGTATACGATCCGATAACCTTACACATGCATGCCAGATGTCTTCCCTCTGCTTTGCCTTTCAATTTCAGCACTTTCTGGCTTCCATTTTATCATAACAACCACAAAAGAACTACATACATCGATATTCTCATATAATAGGATACCTTCTGACGTTCACCGACGTTCAGATCATCACGTATAACGTCTCAAACCGTGATGTAACGCAGAAGCCGGTCATTTTTTCATGGGCGCCGCCATTTTGTCCCATGCGTAGAACACCAACAGTACCCGGATGTTCAGCCCCTGCCCTGTGACGTTCACTTGCCGCGAACAGATGAGACTACTTTTTAGTAGGGGTGTAGTGTAAAGACAGCCGATTAAATATTCCGCAGAAATTTTGAAATACATAGAAATACTAAATACAAAAGAACATTCTTAGATATATTAGTATATCTGTATATTGATTTTCTCAGTAAATAATGTTAATTGACCGCAAAAGGAACTTATATGGACTTACACCCCTCCGTCGCTAAGCGAGTGGTTCTGCCTATGCTTCAGTTGCTAAGTGCGGAAACAAGACACATCCTGTAAATTGCACACTAAGGTTTACCACCATTTATTATAGAGACAGATAGGATCGGATTCGGGTCACTGTATCGCCGGTGGGGGCATCTTGGACAAACAGTTTTCCTAGCCGAAGAGACCGGTTCCTCCCGACCGGCACACAGCCACTACCGGAGAAACATGCCGCCTTCCACGATGAGACTGTCTGAGCTGGTGGACTTGTCGTTGGGCACTCCCGACATGGGGGTGGTCAACTTCAACGCCATGCACACCCTGTTCCACGCCATCATTGACCACCTGAAAATCACAGACATAGAAACGAAGATCGGCGAAGACATCCAGAGAGAGAGGGACGCGCAGTCGACCATGATTTCCACGCGCGGGAGCGGGAGCGATGTGAAGGACGGCCGGGACGGTGCACTATCCCGGTCCGCGTCGTCCCCGACAGAAGGGGAGTATGCCCAGCGGCTACGCCAGCTCGAGGACAAAATCTCTTCTCAGGAGATTCAGCTCAACAAGCTGAACGATCTCCCCAGCAACACAGATTTGTTAGAGAGGACCCGTTCGGAGGGGACCAAACCGGTGGGCGAAATGTGGCAGCTCATGCAGCTCCAGAGAAAAGTGGAAGCCAACGAGGCCGGCCTCACCAAGGTACGTAACAACACGGGCTCACCCTTAACGATAAGATCTCAGCTGCTGAGATCGTAGGTAATTTGCTAATCCTTCTTAGAAGGCGTAATTGTTAGCCAATGTGTCATGCTAAAATCCAGTATGATTGCCTTTTCCACACAAACATTACCAGACCGCTTTTCTTAAGGCGAGGTTTTAATAGACGTTCACACCTCATGTGAGAAATAAACATTGTGCGGATGGAAGTTCTTAAGCGACATCGCACTTAAAGGAGAAACGGTCGAAATCCGCTGAAAAAACGTTTCACTTTCTAAAGGAAAACAAAAACACTGCGCATTACCAGATCTACCTGCTTTGTAACCTGTCACAATAGAGCGGAGGTTTTTCAATGGCTCCAAATGAGCATTTGATAGGTGTGAAGGCAAATTAGAACCACTCAAAGAGCTTTAATTTTTCCCTTTCAATCAAAGGTCATTTAAAATTCAAAAGAAGACTGATGACTATAATGAATTATCTGTGCCCACAGAAATGACCATCCATTCCAATGTAAGAGAAGGTACAAATGACAGATAATGTGTTCTTTTACTTTCAAGTTTGGACTTTAAGAATTATTTGGAACCTTCTTTTGAATTCTAAATACAAAGAAAGCCAAGTCTTTGGTATGTGGTATAAGAGTATAATAAGGAGGTTTTTACACAACATTGATAACAGCCAGCTTTCTGTGTGTTAAGATATGTAATATTCTAAATGGGAATCTTGAAGATTTCCCCCTCTTCCTCTGTTGTACAAAAGTTAGGACCAGTGACTTGGTAATATCTAAAAAGTGCCATTCAAAGTAGCCTTCTTTTGATATACATGTAACTGAGTATCAGTAAGGAAATGGACTTGTCTTGGCTGGTACCAGTAGTAGTGTCAATCTAAATTCATGCATGAGGTTTGTTCAGCTGCTTTTCAAAGGAAGGAAAATTTGAAAGAAAATGTATTCTGTCCTTTCAGAAAGCCACATCCTGCTTATAATCTGCAAGTTTGTCATTGGGCTTATGACTCAAATGTGGGTGAAAGTTCTTGATCTTTCACCGCAGTGCCTATTCAGCAGCAACAAACTTTTATTCAAACTTCAAACTGCTTCTGTTACAACTGTTCATTCACACAGGCTTTCTGAACAGTGCAAGCTACCAGAAATATTCAGTGTAACTCGCAGAAAACGTAACATGAATATCGGAGACTGAATAAAAGAAAAGTCTCTCAGGTTTGAAACTGTGTCAGACATAATTTGGACATTTTTTCTTCCTGAGTGCACGTTGGAGTGGTTCTATGGCTCTTGTCACCTGTTAAGCACTGCTGCAGTGTACTTCAGGACTGTACAAGTATGTGAGCTAAGGCGGGCCGGTGTGTATACTTACCCCATGCATTCCGACGTCATTCGTCCGCCGAGATGTTTGAACTGCTCTCCCCGTGCCCCACCATGTATGGCCTGTATTTGCTTAGTCTTTCCAAGCCTCAATAGACAGATAAAACAGGTTAGAATAGCCGAGCCCCGGCACCGACTAAACAAAACCTGACCAGCTGGGTCAGTTTATCTTGTGCCCCCAGGCATAGAGAAACACTTCATAAAGGTGTTCTTCTTTTCACTTAAGGCTTTCAATAAATGTCTTAATTGTGACAACCTGTAAGAATTAATTTAGACAGATGATCTGCCTATCCTTCTGGCCCGCCCTTTGGCTATTCTGGCTCACTATCCTTGGCTAGTAGTGCTGTGTATTGATCAGTAATTGGTTATTGATCAATGGTGGGGAAATCTTACAGACACAGGAAAAAAAAACTTAAAACATACAAAAAGTTACCAGGGCAGCAACCTGCCTGTTTCCTAGCCTCCACAAGGCTTTCTTAAGGGGTAGTGATTGAATATGAATATTCCGCAAAAATTGGTCAATATTCGCCTAAAGCCAGGGGAGTGAGACACTGTAAGGATAACATATCTGAAAATGAACTCCATGGTACCATGGCCAAACTCCCCTGGCAAATATTTACTTCCTACAGCCAGCATAGTTAAAGTTTGTTAGAGACTGCCTGTCTACCTATCTGACTTGATTCTACTTGACTTGTAAAGCATTCAGCAAGGTAGAAAGATTAGGGAATGCAGTCCAATGCACCATGAACGAGTACACCCAAATTACACCGGAACAACTTCCTGTTCACAGGCATACCGACTGTTTACTGCTAAGTAACTGTAGCAACAAATGTCGTGTGGGAAATCAGGCTTGGAAAGACTGCAGAGGAAGTCACAAAGTTTTCACATTCTTGCATCCTGAGTTGTACAGGAATCAGCAAGTGTTAAATTGGGAATTTGTAGAAAATCCCTAGAAGAACTGTAACAGATACGCTATGACAGTAGGAAGAATGTCAGATACAAGGGAGTTACATACTGGAATCAATTGTCTTAAATGTGGGGTAAAATTACTTCTGAAATATTTGAATTGTATTAAACATGCATCAAACATCTGGAAATCCAAAGAAATGTTAATCTAGAAGTTCAAGGCGTCCATGTAGCGACTCGGATTTCCGTAGTCTGGCAGGTCTAAATGCAGCGGAAAATTAGAAAGGCACACCTACACTATGGAACAATGGTGGGTGGGAGAAAGGCTTTCGTGCTGATACTGTTTCTTCCCCCTGACCCCTGTACGTTAAGGGTCACGTGGCGAAGGGAAGGTTTGGTGGCATAGCAGCGTGTATTTACCCACAACACAGGGCCTTATGGGGTGGCGCTTGCAATTACTAGGCAACCCATGATTTTTCATGACCAGGGACCAATATATGGCCGACTGTAAGATGTATTTGCACAGGCCTCGAAACGTACGAATAGTTCAAGATCATAAATTTGGGATTTCAAAGCACAATTTGGTTTTACTAATATTGGTCATAGAATGCCATCTACTGGTACTTCAAAATGTTTTTTGCCAGCTGTCACCATAAAAATACATTTGGTTTTCTAATAATGGTGGATTTCAGGTGATCTATTTTCCTATATAAGTTGCAATATTCACTGTTGCTAGAAAATATCCTAATTTTACTTGTATTCAAGCACATTTCAAACACAAAGAATCTTTATATTGAAAAATATTTATAAATCGTACAAGCCCAGTCAAAGCTGCAATTAGTACTTAATAACAGCATCCTTTATCCCAACTGTTTTATGATTCCATAGTATCATGTGAATTTATTGACACAGCAAAAGTGCAGCGATTACATGCCCATTTGACTATTCTTCAGGAGTTGACATGTTGAACTTGGCACTGTAACAGTGTAAGGGGAGCAAACATTTGTATTGTCAAGTAATGCATGACTGCTGCAAACACCACAGGACAGGTGTGTTTCAGTTCATATAACAAACCCAGTCAAGGCCAAGATATACTGTCTGGCAATACAATACAGTTAGGATACTGTCTTAGGTTTCAGAGACAATTCAAACTCTACTACTGGATAAATAATGGAGATTACTAGACTAGTAGTACTAATGTTTCTTTGATAGGTTTCATATTTCTAAGTTACAGTAATACATGTATTCTACAATTTCACAAATTGACAACATGTACCACAGTCTTGGGCTGCCTTGTTTGATTCCAAGTCACATTCAGAAAACTGAGCCCTGTCAACACCTAGAACTCCTATCCTTTTCACAGTGATTGACACGGATATCTGGATAAAACTTCAAGAGTTTTTCTCCATAGAAATGAAATAGAGGCCAAAAGTGACTGGTAAGAGAGTGTAAAGAAACTGCCAGGTCATGGAATCATCATAAGAACATGATCAGAAGAGTTTACAATCATATTGAAATAATGTTGAACTTTTATGAAGAGTTTTCCATCATCATGATCTTGATGATCACTGTGATAACCTGGCCGGTGCTAGGTTTGTCCTTGGTTATCCTGAGCCCTCCCAGGGGCTTGCCAACAAAGCAATCTCCCCGTTTCCCAAACAGAAACCCTTCATGAAACATTCATGCCCCTCTTTACAGCCGTGTCTTTGGACCTTTGTATACTTGAACAATTACAATGGATCATTTCTACTGTTAAATCGAGCCCTTTTCAGACAGACAAAGGTAGATACCAGGTAGAATTGACATGATGAGTGGCTCACGAACATGCACCGTCCAGGCTTTGACAGGGTCAACAAATGCAGTCTCCTTGGCAACTGAGTTGCCATGGTGACATGGATTAGGCTAATTTCATTGGGGATGGTTGGCCCTAGCAACTGGTGCCAGGTATGCCGCCAGTATCTATTTGTACTGTTTGATCCCATGTGTGCCTTGGTAACTGTATCCTATGTGAAGAATTGGAAATTGATATTCAGGTTAGCATGCCAACACTCACAGTCGTTTGTATGGGCGAGACCTTTGCTCATTTATTATCACATCAAATGGTGGTGTTGGCAGCAAAAATGAAATTCTGTTGTACTTGATACCAGATTCATTAACTATCTACTGAATAAGATGTTGAAATTTCTATAATATACAAAAGATGCAGTAAGAAAAAAAAGGAAGGAAACATAAGGTCCTATTCAGAATTTTTTTCTCTCAAATTTCTATTGCACATTTTTTGGTATAAAGAGTCCTCATAGAATAGCCAAGTAGATGGTAGCCTAGGGAATATCACTTCTATCAAAAGAGAGTTTGATTATAAGACATTATAAGACAGAATAAGACATTCAATGCTAATTTTATCTGGACTTTTTAGCTTAAATTATACCATCAGGTAAACCAAAACAAATGATTAAATTTAGTATATACATATGTAACGTTATACAAAATTTCAGCCTCTTTGCATGGCTGTACCACCATGTTGTTCCATTGCGCTGATTTAATCAAAGTCATGACCACCAGTCCTTAAAGACAATTACTGCCACAAAGGGGTAATTTTTCTGCCGCCCGCCTCCCCTCAGCCACGAAGTATCAGGTGCCAGGCTATGTAATACTGTCAGTCACCAGCCCTTTTGAAACATACATTCAATATCAAAGACCGTATGGACCAGACTGATTATAGGCTTGAATTGCTTTTGTTTGCACAACCCAGATTATGAATAGAATTACATCACCATGGCAACTGTATAGAAAAAAAGCTGTCCGTCTAGTGCTATTGCACGTGGATGCCTTTCTATGACCCGTTTAACTTACGATAGTGATATGTCTAAACAAACAGATCACTGGCTCTCTGTCAACAAAAGGCAAGAACTCGGAAGGATACTTTATTCTATAGACAGACAAAAGATTTGTTTGTGGTGGTTGGACTTTTGTTGCGCTTTGCTTGGATTGAGTTTCAAGTAGGTCACTTCTTGTTTTGTTCCAGAGCTTTGTTAGGCTGTGAGCTGTGTTATATTGGGAAGGGGGATGAAATTTAAATCTCAGATATGAAATTGACATCTATGTGGGCAGCATTGCTTATCTCCTATAGCTAGTTATACAGATTACTGTCTGGATTATCTTTGATCCATAGCTCAGGATTGTATTGACAGGGTTTTAGCCATAATTGCATTTGGACATCTTCTGTATTGTCATACAAAAGCCTCAGAGATTACAAGAGAGAAATATCTGCAAGTTGCTGAGAACCAAATCAAACTTTTGATTGTGTTATAGATTGCCAAGGAAGAGATATGAAATAATATTATATTTGTTGGGAACTAAGGATTCTCAGGATTATCATAATTGGTGCTTTAAAAAAGCTTAAAAAGCAATAATTATTAAAATTAGTGCATCAGAAACCTTTCTTTTTATTGTAAAACACCTTACTTTGCTGTTCAATACCTTATCAGGCCCACCTATATCTTTTATGAAGCAAAGGTTTATTAGTCTGTCCATACAGTCAACATCTCCCACAGAGAATGCAGTTCCCAACAATCCTACGAGTCTGAATCATTCATGAAGATGGTAGAAAACCTGGCAACCGGCGACGGCAGAATGTTCCAGGTGTTTGTTTGAGAGCAGAATGTCACTCACGTTGCTATGATCAGAAAGGCCGGGCTGCATTCACTGCATATCCTTATTACCCTCCATTGAAGTCAGTTGGCAAACAATTTTTCGTGTGTGCAAACTTATGACAAAATAGAAAAGCGATTTTTCAAAGTCCTCTCTGCAAGGCATTTCATTTTTGAAAGCAAAGCATTTGATGTTTGTTGAACCCTCTCTATATATAGCCGTGCGTCAGCTGTCAATAACAGCCTATTCTCAGCAGGCTGTATTGCACTACAGGCAGGGACGTGTTCATTATTTTTGGATCCATCTGGTGTTTACGGCCCAATCTGTTCCCCCTGATTCTGGTGATCAGCCTTCACACTGCGCCTGGGTCACAACCCCCGGCTGTTAGAACAGCCATCGTCATGGCAACACGTAGCTGTTTGTTGCCTGTCGGGTCTGTCAAAGATGTTAGACGTTATCAAGACCTTTGTACCCATAACTCGGCAATGTCCAAAGGTTGTGCAGTGAAGTGTTTACTGATCTATAGATCTGTTCTCTGAGGCAAGAATCACAAGTTTAACTGTTCTGTTCATCTTTATAGTATACAGCCAAATAAATATACAGCTTTTAGAAAGCCTCTTGCAGTTTCAAACATTGATGCATCAAGAAGAAAAGATCTTCATGAATTATCGTTATAAAAACAGCAGGAGATAAAATGATTTACTTATTTAAAGACAATCAGCACCAAGGACATCACTAAGTGCTTCTTAATTTTAGGGTTGATGAAAATCCTCCCTTTTTATCAGCCTATTACTAGCTAGATTTACATAATGACCAGTTAATGTTGGCTGAACTAACAGTACTCTTGTTACTGTTAGTCAGAGAAGCATAGATTCACAGGTGAAGCATTGTCCCGTAAAAGGGGCACACCCAAAACACACTTTTCCTCTCTGGTGTTTTTGAAGTGGCCGTACCATTTTAAACTACGCTGCTTTTGAGTCAGAACAAGTGTACTGTTGTCTTTCGTCCCATAAAAGTCAGCGTCTTTAAGATGTTTGGCACGTCTTCAAACAGCCAGGACAGTGCTGTAGTCATAATAACGAGACAGGTGTGACCACAAACGTGTATGTCCACCCAACTCATCCAGCCACACCTGCTCACAATACTGCCCAGCCGAGCGTTAAATTATCCTTTTGCAGCGGCTGTCAGCGACCATTAATCTGCAGCCAGCCCCCAAGGCAGCCCCCAATCACTTGAGGGAAATTAAACCTAATTTATGGGTGTTACCTTGATTTGGTTGAGTCAGTACTATGTGTGCAGTAAGCATGGTTTAACTGAATCTGAGTTTGTAATGAGGGGCTGTTTGTGGTTACCAGGTTACTGTCTGTGTGGAAACAACATCTTGAAGGATGGAACTCTCATACTTCTTCAAATTAGTCTCCTGTTTTCTCAAGTCTGTATGAGATTATATTGGAGTTGGATTATTTATCGTCACTGATCTTATGTTACTTTAGTTTAAGGGTTGGTGTGCAAACAGCAGTGGTTTCAAACAATGATTATAAAGGGGAAAAATAAATGTACGCAGCATGTCAGAGACAAATACACCGGGCGTCATCTTGTATAACAGCATTGTCACATTTTTGTCCTTCAAGATAATAGTCTTATTGCTCGTCCCCTTGTACTGTTCAGAAATCAATCAATCAAGTTTCTTTTACTACAAAAGAAAAAAAGAATTTTTAATGTCGCTTCATTTTTCAACAAACCATTTTCTTGCAATTGACATTTTGCAGAGCAAGTGTGTCGTAAATATTGTGCTAGATAATGGGCATGTGTCTCTAGTTCCCTTTTGCAATCCAGATGACATTTCAAATGTTTGGTAGGTTCCATTTTCTCTGTTGAAATTCTGGACTTAATGGACAGAAGTGGTGCTTAACTTATTGGAAGACAAGTGTTGACTTATTGTGTACATTCATACTAGAATTAATGATTAATTTTGAAACATAGGGCCTATTGCCATGGTGGCAAGATGGTCTTCTGGTTAGGATAAATCCTTGCATGGGATTGATAATACACTATGTTTCAGTAGCATGATAATAATTTTAAGACCTGTGTAAGATGTTTCCCCATGTTCCCCATCCGACAGGCCATGTCCCTGATTGAGGACCTGATGCGGGAAGTCAACATGCTGAATGACAACAAAGCCAAGGTTGCCAAGGAGATGAAGGACATCAAGGACAGACTAGACAAGGTGAGCATGGCAGGGATTGTCTGGTGGGGAAAAGAGCACGTAGGCATAGGAAAATGAATGTTGTGTTTCAATTTACAGTGCTGAAAAATTTGGGTCAATTAGTCGGTAGGGATTGTATGTCCCTTGCCCCAAAAAGACCTAGGTGGGCAGGTTTTTGCTAGGTTTGCTTGGCTGACAGGAAACACAAAATGTTTTCTATTGTCTTACAGAGATTTAAGGATGTTGACTTGTTCATTGATACCGAAACATAAAAAAATAGCACCTTAAGTTTTTTTCTGTCTTTTTTCTTTTCAGTGCAAGTCTGTTAGAAACAGGTTTTGAAATCATAGATCCAGTGACTTTGATAAATATAATACCGGTATTTGGCTGCCTGGTTGATTTTTGGAGACTGAACAGATGATTTTCTGTAATCAGGTTGCAGCAGACCATTTCAGCACCAAGGACAGGTCACCACCTTATAAGTCAATCTAATCAGAACTTCAAAAGGCATATGTTTTGTCATGTGTTGTGATTTCTATTGTTTTTGTTGTTGCTTTTTTAGCAAAAGAAATGACAGAAAAACATGTAATGTTGAATTTTCCCCTGTACAGATGGACCTGACTTCACTAAGTGACAGAATCAGTGAACTGGAGAGCTATCAGGACAAGATGAAGAAGATTGATGAACTAGAGAAACAATTGGTAAGACATTTCACACTTCTTGCCAGCCAGAGGGAGTTTGCTTCTATTTTCTGCTGTTGTTATTCTTTTAACTCTTGAGTCTATAAGACATCACACAAACTGTGCATATAATAAGAACTTATGGTTGCATTTTTCTAAGGACGATGCAGTTTGAGCTATGACATCTGTCATTTTGTTTGACATTGCATGAGTTTAAGTATACTGGAACATGTTGTATAATGTCTCCTATCTATTGCACAGGCTGAATTAGCAGAACAGTTGAAGAAGCTGCCCACTGCAGAGGAGTTTGATGCCTTTGTCACGTGGCCTGTACTGGATGAGGCACTGAGGGAAGAACGGCAAAAATACATGGAGGTATGTAACCTTAGTATATCATTTGGGTGAAAAATTTATCGGTTACAGCGTTAGACAGCTGGTAGAAGGTTACAAGAGAGGGGATACTCTAGGATTCAATGAGCTTTTCAGTTCTCCTTTCTTTGATTTACAACGGGCTTTTTCTCTGTGAAGATCAAAACTTGCTGCTGGTAGAGATCAGAGACTGGAGGAAATTACATCTTGAGTCCACATGAGAGATGTGCAAACTCATGCTCTGAGCAGGAAGTGCTGCAAATTAGAATGGAGGCAAGCATGTTTGCCTAACCAAAAAGCTCTTGCATTTACAATGTATTTCATTTTATTTATTCATTGTTTGCTTCAGACACATGTCCTATATCCACAACATTAAGAAAAACAAAACTAACTACGAATACATAACATAAAATACTGCCATACACAGTAGTGGCTAAATTGATTGTCATGACAGGCTATTTGTAAATCCCTAGTATCCATGAGTAATTCTAATTCCTTCTTTTTCACACCCAGACGAAACCCACAGATGGTGCAGATGAGTCTGAAGTGGTAAGCTGCAGGTTTCACTTGGAGCATGGGATCCTACACTTATAACTCCTGCACTTTTTCCACAGATGTTTGGTTTAGATGAGCACCCTTCACCGATATCTTCTGCTACACTCAGTTCATCACTTGTCTTTGCATGGATTGTCTGTTCAATGGGAAATCCCTTTTAGTTTCTCTGTAGAAATGAATGATGTCTTCCACTGCCCAGCCTCTCTTCCCACAGGTTCAGCTGCATGTATACAGCACCATTAGGCATGCAACATCCCAATATCTTCTGCAGTTGTTTCAGCTTCCTTCATCTCATCACAATATTCCTTAGCATGCACACATGCACAGCAAACTTGCATGATCAACATTATTGCACATTTTTCTTCTCAATATGCTACCGTGACAGATATTTTACACTTTCTTTGATAGACCAAAAATCAAGCAAATTTTATCATTCAAAGTTTACTTAGACCCTTTTACACACAGTTTGATGCCAACATGGTCAATTTTTCCACTCAATGTCCCCACAGCTTCTAGAGCAGCTGAAGAGTAAGGACCCGTCACGTCCGCCGTCTGCCCCTCGGCCTCCCTCATCCCGTCTTAGCAGCGCGAAGGAGAAGTACCCTGAGGCACTGCAGGCTCTCAAGGAAATGGCAACGCTGTCTTTCGAACACGAGAAACTCTCAGAGCAAGTCGAAAAATTAGAGGTAAGTGCAACAGATCTTACTTAACTATTAAAGTTAAAATCCTTCCCACACCTTTTGGTGTATAGTGGTACTACCCATCTCTACTGGATTTGGTCAGGGGGTTATGTTAAATTTATTGACTTAATTGGCAGCTGCTGATTTTGTATCTTCAGTTTGTAGTCAGATAGTTAAGCTAATGGCAACAAGTATTTTGCATGTGTATTGTTCTAGTTTGCATAGTTTTTGTGGGATAAAGGTACTGAATTGGCAGAGAAAATGTTCTCCAGCTATCTTTGTAAAGCCTATTATTAGTCTGTTTATTGTTGGCTATGATCAAACAGAGCACAGCATGTAAATGTTACCATAGGGTTGGTATTTTCAAGGACATTATACAAATAATGGCCATGTCCTATTTTTTGACATTTGGAGCCATTTGCCAACAGTATCGCAGACAGCCTGTTTATCCTGGATTTTCATCGAGTTTCATTTTTTCCCTTTCTTTACAGGTTACCATGCCAACTAAGGCAGACAAGAGTGAGTTGGAAAAGCTGCTTGAAGCAGGTAGGCACTCCCTATGAGCACCTTAAGTAAAGTCTATAGCTTTGACTTTATGGTGGGTTCATGATATCATTTGCTGCAAAGCCTTTTCATTCTTGTTGAAGGTTGCTTTCGAAATGTTAAACCAAGGGAATCAACAGTGTAAAGTGGTTTTGTACATGCAGACAATGTGGTAATCAGATTCGAATTCTGAAACATAAAAAATACTTTTTTAAAAGAAAATGATATTGCTAATAATATTGCTAATGATAGCTACTAATACAGACATCTAATCATTTTCCCAAACAGAGATGACTTAATTATCATGACTCTCAAAACACATTTACAATGTACTTTCAACATTTTACCATCATAGATAGAAGAGTTGTGAATGTGACTTTGTGACTTCCTAATCAATTAATCAACCAATCAATCAATCATTCAATCAATCAATCATTCGATCGATTGGTTAAATGATCAATTAACTGACTGATAAGGCCAGATAACTTTTAAGCTACAGGGTCATTGTTTACTGACCACAAGGTTCTTCAATATAAGGTACTGTCTATAATCATGCCTGGTTTGGCTCATGCACCCCTCTACACATCTCCCCAGCTCTGGCCAATCAGAAGGTGGATGTCCCAGAAGACCTGCTGGAGCAGCTGGCTGCCCTGCGGGATGCTCTGGACATGATGAAGAACAGCAGGGACAAGGTGGGAGGACTAGATAAGACCAGACCCCTGATGTTGACAAATTACTATGAACATGGTACTTTTGATGTTATGAGCTATCAGAAGGTGTGGGAAGCCTTGTTATGGTACCAAGGCATCAACAACTAACAGATTCAGTGTCAGCAGTCCCATCAAAGGTAACAAATGTCTTAGCAGTGACTTCAAGATGCAGCTTATATGAGAAACAGTTTTGCTGAGGATCCCACTTCTGACACCATGTGTTGAAACTAAATTCAAAATCTGAACCAGATATGCCTGATTCTTAAAAGGAAAAAAACACAGCTTGGCTTCATATGGCTTCTCTGAAGTTATCACTGCTCAACACTGTATTAGCAATTGAAAGCATTGTATTGATAGCACCTAGAACTATCTTATTGTTGTGCCATTGACCTAAAACAGAACACAAAGTGTTGCTAGTGGTTGGTCAACTGACATGATGCAGGAATGTTCTAGAATGTGCTATTAGTATAATAATTGCATCATAGTTATTTACAGTCATAGCTATCACAGCACAGGGATTCCAGAATATATTCCAGGATCTGAACTGAAATTGTATAATTATTTCTCTTACAAAACACTTCCGATCTGCAAAAACACTGTTTTGGAAAAGAGATGGTTGTACAATTACCAGTTCAGCATCTCATGAATCTGTGCTTATGTAATGTATTGCAGATGCCTTGCCACTTCTCTACATGCTTTGTGTCAGCAGTAACTGTTCTATCTCTCTCACCCCCAGCTTGACGAACATTCTCGCATCCTGGACGGGCTCATAAATGCCCCTCCAGACTTCCTCACCCCTCCCTCCACCCCCCCTCCAACTGAAGGCGAACCAGATGCCTTCTCTCTCGCACACACCGCCACTCCTGTCCTGCCCCCTATATCCCCCACCCACAGTGCAAATGACACTCCCCCTCACAGAAAGAGACCGACCCCGCCCACCTCCCCTGTCCATAGGATGTCCGACCCATCCAGAATGACACCGCCCCCCTCCCCCGTACGCAGGATGTCAGACACGTCCAAACGTCCCCTCAGTCCCGTAACATCCGTACTCCCCTCCACTGGCCCCTCTAAGAAGACTTCTAGCACAGGCAGACTCATGCAGGACCTGAACCTGCAGATAGTGGGCCTGCGTGCCAAGGATGCCGAGCTGGAGAAAGACATTAAGAGCCTTAAGGATGCTGTCAGTCAGAGATTGAGCTTTACAGGAGTGCCTGTACAGGTTAGTCAGGACACAGGTATCTTCAGCACAGGGTGGTCGACTATCGCAAGTTTTCCCCTTCAGCATGTCACAGAGCAAAAGAATAAATATTGGAAGTCAGCAACTTAAACTGATCAATTGCCAGTCAAAATTTGAATCATTTTCTATACTGTCATTGACATAATAATTGTGATTACAGGTTTCAGATTCATTACATGTTATGGATTTAAGATTCACTGTGTTTTTGATTGCTTTGTGGCCTTCTACGTTCTTAGTTGTGTTCTTATGGGCATATTCTGTATCTGTCTCCTAAAGAACACTTCCGAGAATGAAACCATAGGACACAGCAACAGTTCACAGGTAAGGATGGTATCAAAATTTCCAAAATACATGTAATCCAGATGCACTCTAATCATAAAATCATCACCCAATGACAAATGAAATGACAGGTTTAAGTACAAGTATAAGAGCACCTTCAATGATCAAGTGGTGATGTGATTCATTAATTGACTGGCAATTGATTGCACAGGGTAATGAAGAAAGCACAGGGTGTTGCATTTTGACCATACAATGGTCTAAAACCCAATCACACAGTGTCCTAACATAAGGGTACAGTTTTGGTGATCACTCTCCTTGGTGCTGGTTTTAAGGTGGTTGTTATAGGGTGTCATTCAAAGTTGTCACAACTCACAAACTAACCGTACATGATAAATGCAACTAACCAAGTAACAAGTTATAACACTGGTGTCTTTGCATGAGGGATTTGGAATGGATGTTGTAACCATACATTTGTTATAACCTGACTAATGACTGGCAGTGAGAGCTTGTGTAAACACATTTGTTGGAAATGAAAAATAACACGTGGAGTCACTAAGAACTTTAAAACACAAACTTTAAATGTTCACAAACTAACAGTTATACCATTATGGATAAAGTAACATACCTGTAGCACATTATTTTTGTACAGGGATAACTTATGGGTCACCAGTGTAATTACTGTCAGCAACAATCTCATCAATTTACATAGAAAACAAGTAAAAATTGTCTCCAAATTTCTAGTGGATAACTGAATAAAAGAACCTAAACATGAATCTAAAAACACTAATGTTAGCTTTAAAAAGAACACCACCAGTGTCATACATAGAATTTCTTAAATCTTAGTCAAGAATTCATCAATTTTCAATGTACTTTTTATCTGCCCCAAGCAGCTTTTATCAGAAAATAATTTTTGCTTCTGATCAGCCATTAGTGTTTGAGGGTGTACTGCATAAAATGTTCACTGCCATCACAAGACATGACTTGCACCTTGCCGTGAGCTTTTCCATGCACCAGTCCTGCTATTGCTTTATTTTGACCTGGATGTGACAATTCTGTTCTGTGATTTTCTCTTTAACCAAAGATGGGAGATGAACATGAACTACAGAGCATGAACCAGGTATGCAGACACGCTGCTTTTTTCCACCTGCGTGAGATTTGAGGCACCATCCATATAGCAAGCACTGGAAATAATTTATTTCACAAACATTCCATGATATCATTGTACAAGCAACAGTGTTGTATTTATGCAACATTTTGGTTGTTTTTGTACCATGTCTGATTATTGAGCACACACCATCTGAGAATTCACAATCCCACATGGAGTCATTTCTTTAGAACAACAGCTTCTAAACTTGCCATTCAATGCGAAATTCATGCACATCATACATTTAGCATGGAAGACTTTTTCCCCATCTTAAAGCATGTCAAGTGCTTTGAGGCTTCCTGTGTACTGAAAATCAATGCTTGCAACTGAATTTTTTAAGCATACATTGTCCAGATACAGAGAGGTTAACTGTTCTAAGATGGGGGAAAAGTCATTCTATAGTAATCTAAGATTCCAGTGTACCAGGGTAATTTTGGTACGTGGAGGTATCTTTAGAGTGCTTAAGTGCTGTCATTGTACAAATCGTATTCTAATCATTTCCTTTTTTTTTCTTCAATTTCATTCCATGTACTAATGCAGAATTAGAAATCATGGCATAGCAATTATAACAGCTGGAGCTTGTTTCATCCAACATTGCTAATTGATGCATTTTCCTTGTAAACTTCCCTGTAGTATCAGAAATTTACCTAGAACAATGGATATATGTAAACTAAAGGTTGATACCAATACATTCAAATACACACTACCAGTTGAGTACATGCGGACATTTTGGATGCACCAAATAGTCTGAGCTACTGCAAAACGCTTTGTAATTTTGACACATCTTTTTGCATCTCACAAGCAATCGGCAGCTTGGTTAGGTGCAGATACTGAGGACACACAGACACAGCCTGCTTCACACACCTCAGCTTCCCCAGCAGAAATGCCTCCGTCTGAGGCACAAGATGAAATCTTGCAAGTGTATATAAGCAATGTTTCTGAGGAAACAAGCACTGCTGAAATAGTAATCAGTGAAAAAGCTGCTTTGCAAGATCAGGTGGGAAATTTGGGCAAATTTTTCTCTGCACCGCCTCACATTATACAGCCTTTCTGTAATTAGCACTTAAAACACTTGCTTAACCAATAATTGAGATTGAACCCTTTCAAACTTAATCACAAACATAATCATTTCTTGTGTTTCATTGTAACATGACAGAAAAATACACAATCATATAATTCTGATGTGCACCCCTCTATCATGTTAAGTTCTAGAGTTTTGCACGATGATGTGTGCCGTACACTGTATCGTAACTAAAGTAGATAAAGTGTCAAACTTGTTGCCTTCCAGTCTCAGACTACAGACACTGCAAAAACTCCACATGACAGACAGTCAACAGAAGTTCAACCTCAACCACCCTCTTATGTAGAGGGGCCTACACCTTCTAAGTCCCCAATGTGCAATACAGATATCTCCAATGATACAAAACCTAAAAATCTGAATGAAAATAAGTCAAAGAAGCAACCTTCTGTGATCACCAGAAAAGAGCGTCCTGCAACTAAGAGCTCTACCCCAGTCAAAGATGAAAAATATGCTAATAAGAAAGATGAAGGAAAAGAAAACGCAAGTGCAGAAATCGAGAAACCATTGCCAGATAATCAGCAAACAAATTCCCAGAAGACCAAGGCCCCCCAGGTGAATCCTGCTCCTCCAATGATGGCGAGACACACAAAGCTTGTCACCCCCATGGCTCCCACAGGGTGGTACATTCCAAACCAGAAGTCTGTGAAGATAGAGGTGGGAACTTCCATCCCGGCCCCCTTCCCCCTACAGAGGCACTGTTCATTCCATTCCACTGCTTCATCATCCAACATTTTTCCATCCCATACTTCATACTAACACCAGTTCTGAACTTGCACTTTGCTCATCAGGACCCCTTTTTATTTCCATCATCATACAAACAGCACCGTTTCTTTATCAACAATGTTCTCTTGGATTCATGTTATGTTAATGTTTTCCTCCATTATTCAGTTTGTAGCACCATGTTTATTGTGTTTCATCCTTGCATTTGACACTTTTTGTTGTTTATTTAACAATGCTTTTGTTGTTTTGTCCCAAGGAGAATTATTACCGTTTTTTTTTATTTTACAAAATGTCAACTATGGGAGGAATGTCTTTTCTCCTAAAGAATTGCCTTCCCAGAATGCTTCTCTCACCTACCCACAATCCCCTGCAGGATGGCGACATGTTGGCTAACCTGCAGCAGAAGGTGCTGCAGCTGCTGGCAGACGTGGAACAGCTGAACGGAACTTCCTCCGACCTGGTCCGGAAGAGTGGTGACCTTCAAAAGAGTACAGAGGTCAGTGGGTGCTTCTTTCAACATGCCTAGCATCAGATTGGGTCGAGTGGATTGGATCTTTATTATGCAGCTGGCAGACTTTCAGGCTGAATTTTGTTACTTGGTGTTTACATGGCTCAGTTAAGTAAACAATGACATATGTCATTTAAAACATACCATACAAATTCTGTGACAGTGTATACATGTACATGTATATCATTTGATAAACATTTTGTGACTTGACACAGGTATAGCAAAACCTGAGATCCTAACAAAAGCTACCTTATTTGCAGGCTCTTTATAAGGTTTGTGACAAGTTGAATGACACCAAAGCAGACAAGGACTATGTCACCATGGAGGTTGATGTGGTAAGCTTGTGCTTTATTGTTATATTTACAAACTTGTGTCCCAATGCCAATTGCAAGGGAAGACAAGGATACGAAAATGTAAAAAAAAAGCAGAAAATGTGTAGTCTATAATCTGGAGAGACTTTTTTGGAGGCAGTAGCTAAGATTTTATTGGTACAGTTTTCACAGTGAATTGAAATAGCAAAACATCACCTGATGGTTACTGAACTGAACTGATGGCTGCATTCTTTTGTGTCACAGAAAGCAGACAAGAGGGCGCTGGAGAGCAAAGTCAGCCGGCAGCAGTTTGACTCCTCCTTCAACGAGCTGAACAACCTGATCCAGGAACTGCTGGCTAAACTGGACGGACAGGTAAACACACTGTCACTTTCTCAAGTTCCCAGCTGCTTAGAATCTAGAACATATTTTGCAAACTGGCATTAGTGTTGTGTAAACATGGCCTACTCGCAATGGAAGGCATTTCAGCACCATGAAGGACTTGATGTCATGAGCTGGAAATTTGTAAGGATCTGAAAATTACTGTCAAAATATTTGATTAAATGCCAGAGTGTAAGCCTACATCAATTTATTTCTTGATTCTTAGACATTTTAATGTGAAAATTTAGCAAGTGGCCCAGATGAAAACAGAAGTATGGGTATAAAAACTTGAATTTCAGTAATACATGTACAATTGCTCAAAGTGTGTGCACAACCCTTAGACTCTGTTCCAAGTCAGTATTTCAATCAAGCATTATGCATAGTCAGAGAACCAAGAAATACATGTACAGATGATCTGGCCAAATGACTTCCAAGATTTCTTTGGCATGTGAGCTATTTGTCATGACCATGTGTAACACCAACACTGTCACCCCCACAGGATGGTCAGTGGCAGGACGCCCTGAAGAACCTAAGTGACGACCTGGACGGCAAGCTGGACCGGTTGGAACTGGATCCCTTCAAGGAGTACATCCAAGGTCAGCTGAACAAGCTGAACAGGAAGATGGCCAAGGTCACAGAGATTGAGCAGCAGAAGGAACTGGACGAGGCTGCAGGCTTCAGGAAGTGAGTTCTGTGTCTGTTTTTCTACATGGCAATTATCACTGAGAACCATTTCACAACAAGGCATCTGAATTTGTTCTTTGATAATGGCAGTCTTCTTTATCAGAATACAATTTCTGACCGCTTGCCCTTTCTGTTGACAGGCAAATGTTCAGGTGCATCTCTTGTGACAGGCCAGTGACTATGACTGCTGGAGGGTGAGTTTTTGTTACAGTGAAACATATAATGCCATAAATAATGTGTATGTAAAGAAGAAAATGTAAGTCACATCATATCCAGATTGTTTGTCTTACTGCTATTCTGTCCTTCTGATGGTTTTTACACAAATCACAAGCTATAGCTACAATGTTACTATTGTTAGTGATGAATAGTACATTTACAAGTCTGAATATTGCTGCATGTTGTAGAATTAATTTGATATTAACATTGTTGATTTGAACATTGCTGCTTATTTCTCACCAGGCCTGTTCCGGCATTGCCGAGCACCAACAGCCTACCGGTGACAGCAACACTCCGACCCTACACTACCTACGAACTGGAAAAGATTCGCCAGGAACAAAAGACGTATGTTCCCTGTCCATTTTCTTGTTTTTAACATCAGAAACCATGTCTTCTTCTTTCTTTGTTCATACATCTAGTTACGGTGTTGGAGATATTGAAACCCTAATTGATAAACTTGATCAGCTCTAGTTACAGGTTTAGCTTTAGATTTTGAGAATGCAATCAGGCGTTGTGTTTCAGTAGTCCCAGTGTAGGAAGCGAGGACAATGCGACCAGGTTTCAGAAAACCATGGCTATGAGGAAGCTAGCTAAGCTGAAAAGGAAGAACATCCACCTGTACAGGCTAGTTATAAACCAGGGCATAGACCAGATCATGGCAAAGCTCATGAAGAAACGCAGGCATCGTGGCAAGGACCAACTCCTCAAGTGTCAGGCAGCCAGGCTGCAGCCATTGCAAGGACCCACTGTGGGACCCACACTGCCATCGTAAGGTTTTAGATAGGGCCAAGTCTTCCATTGCAAGGTTTAAATAGGGACCAAGTCTTCCATATGAAGGCTTTAGATAGCGAACCACTCTGCTATCATAAGGCTTTAGATAGGGACCAAGTCTTCCGCAGTAAATTCTTAGGTAGGCACCAAGTCTTCGATGTTAAAGCTTTAGATAGGGAGGCAATAATTAGAAAAGCCAGCTGGTATGATCAGGTGCCAAACAACCTCTGGCCGGCCAAAGCACTCCAACCTATATGAGTATGCATGGTTACCAGGCTAACTCTTCCATCATAAGGCTTTAGGTTGGGACCCACTCTTCCGTTGTAACTCTTCCATAGTAATGTTTTAGACAGGGATGTTTTCCAAGTATGTGCTGGTATTTAGTCAGTTATTGCTTAGCTTTCATAGGCTTTTGTATGTTAGCAACAGTTTCTGATGACTTCTATACTTTTCTTTAGCTATCGTTGGAGACACAGAAGGTAACGAGTGCTTCAAAGTCATAACTCTCAGACCCACAACAAAACACATTCCACCTTTTTTTGGACCGTATTCGACAAAGTACAATCTTGCTTTCCAAATACATGTAGTCTATACCATATCATGTTTGTCTGCATGCCCAACTGGTGCTAAATGCACAAAATATAGTTTTTGAGGTTCAGCATATTCTATGATTGTACATGATTTACATGGTGTTGATTTTTTTTCTGCTATGCACAAAAGAACAAACATTAACTTAACAAAGATAGTTCCTTCCTGGTGGCATAGTTGAAGTTGAATGCTGTTGTATGTGTATGTTTATCTTGTTCTAGCCTGGCCTAGCAGGCTCCTTAGGACCTTGACCTATATGTGTGTATGTTGACAACTTGACATCAAGTTGTTTCTCCTGTTGTAGCCTGGCCCAGCCTGCCCCTCAGGACTATGACCTGTACTTCTCCCAGCCCCGCCCCTGTGGGGGGAGCCACACGATGACGTATCCCAACAAGAGATTCACCAAACTCACAGCTGGCGGACAGTGAGTCTTCTGTTTCCTTACATATTTCCTTACACCTTTGAGTAGTCTTAGACAGCATTTACAACAGTACTGCTCATGTGTTCATCTATTGACTTTGAAACCAGTTTGATAAATAAGTTCTGAAGGACATTCTCTATATCCCTCTCCTGCTCACTTTTGCTGGATTCCAATACAAAAACATTAATTTACAATTTGTCCTCTAATGTTACAGATACGTGGTAGAAGAGCAGCCACAGGTGCAGGTTTTCCATGTCAAGTAAGTATCAAAGTACCTCCACATCCATTTAAAAGATAACAAAGTTGGTAGACATTCTTGTTGCAGTTGGTGTACATATCTGTGTAACTTACTACAATTTTACATGACTCTCTAGGGAGGAGCTGGACATCATTGGAGCTGATGGGCACATCTACAAAGGCCGTGTGGAGATAGACGATGGGAGACTTCCCACCCTGACACAGGTAAGGGGACAACTCTCTTATCAGAACTGCTGCTGTCATGCATTAGATATGGCTATAATAATAATACTGCTTTCCAGCATGTTATGATTCTGTGGAAAGAGACTTTTACCAGCAGTAGTAATCAAACAATATGTTATGGCTGTTTTAAACTTTATTGTTAGTAAATGTGTATTGACAGAATGGTAAACTTAATGTCATACATTTAAAAAGGAAAGGTTAGGACATCAGGCAAGGTTAGGAATTGCCGAAATTGTTCATGTTGTTTGACAGTCAGTTTATTCTCATTAACAGCAGCCGAAGGCCCCGGTGTCGCCTGGTACTCAGAGGAGACGAGGACAGAAGCCTGCGTACTCCCCACGCTCTGACCAGCGCCCGTCACCGCCCGGCCGGCCCCAGTCCGCCCACGCCACCTCTCCCCGCCCCGGGTCCTCCGGCCAGCGACCCCACACCGCGGGCAGTCGGTCAGTCTCCAGAACCTCCCAGACGCACGTGATTGACGAGTCCACGGGGGAGCAGCAGCACTCTCCACCCCCGACAAGACAAGCCACACCCGGAGAGGGCGGGGCTGGACAGACAGAAGTGTCTGCCACTGCGTAACTTCACATAACTCTCCTGGGGGTACCATAGCCACACTACCATATATACACACTACCATAGCCACTTGTCCTGCTCAACAGTTCCTTTATGTGCCTGTCTTGGCAAGCTGTTTTTATAACTTTTTACTATTAAACAATTTTTAGCACTTCATGCTCACCTGAGAAGGGTACATTGTTGTTTGTTCAATTCAGTGTAAAGCTGGAGTAAAAGATGTTTCTGTAACCTAAGTGTTCTCTCCCCTGGTTAAGGTATAGTGAATGTTAGTATTTGTACAGTATGTTTAAAAGACAGTTTGTATAACCTGGCCATGTTTGTACATATCCCAACATGAGTCAGGGCCGAATTGCTGCTATGCAAAAGAAGATTCCAGTGAACGTATCTATCTATAACGTGAAATGTTTGTACATGTAGATGCATTATTTTGTGATAAATGTGTAAATTGCCTTTAAACAAGCTGATTTCACAGCCATGATGCTTACTGTACTGCTTTAGCCAATTCTGTGTGCTGACGCTTGATAAACTGTAATGCCACACTGTCAAGGGATGGACACACTGCACAAGCCATGTACATGTGAAAAATGCACCAAAAATAGAACTGCTTTCTGGTCTTTCTTATGACCAGAGTGTGAAGTTTGATATGGATTTATGAAGAATGAACTATCTGTACATAAACAAATGCTTGATGTGCTTCCAAAGATGATTGATGTACAATGCAGTTATAGAGAATGATGCACCATCAGTGGACAGGGAGGCTGACTGTTTCTCTCTCACTGATTCTAGCTTTAGTATTTTCAAGCCACAGGCGTCGGCCACTTGCCATAGCACCATGTGTGTGTGCACCTGAGTGCCTTTTCTAGAAATGAAGTATTTAGGATATTTATCAAGATGATTCTACACAACCCTGCTTTTATGCACCTGATAGAAGTGCAATATACCAAATATTTAATGTGCACCAGACTTCAGTGTGGTCCAGTAAACATATAACGTTAACAGACATAAAGTCATTATACTTTTGTATATACAGTAATGAAGTACACATCGAAGTCTCAAATGTTATATTTGTAGTTCCACACTTTTCAGCTTTTAAGAGTTTGCGTACTAGTGGTTCCCATGGAGTCATGCACATATATTTCCTGCTGTGCAATCACATACGAATGGCCAGTTTGAAATGTACCTTTGAATACTGAGTTTTAAGTGGTTAACATCTGCATTTAGCAATTGTTTGGCAAAGTTTTGCTCCATTCTTCAGGTGCCTTTGAAATTTAAATGCAAAGAATTTCACTAGAAAACAAAAAAAAGTTCAAGAACGATTGAAAGCTGGTCTGATTTGAAGTAGGAGTCATTAGGATGATTTGATCTTGTTGCAACTGAACATTTATAATGCTGCTTGCTTGCTTGCTTTCTTTCATGCGCTTGTGCCATTTCCATGTTTCCCTATTTCTGTATATTGTCAACAGATATGATTTGCAGAGAAAAAAAATGTTGACTCGATAAGAAATCTGCACCTCATCATGTTGTATATTACCTGTTTGTCACTGCACTGCAATGGGTTTGGTCGTTTTTCAGACGGAATAAACGACACCTTATCACCGTAGTTTTTACTGAGTGGACTCTTATTTACTGCGCCAGATTTTACCAGAAAAGCGATTTTACCTTTAAAGGGAAATTAAAGCTGTTGGTTCTATACTACAATGTATAAGTACACACTTTTTAGAATCATCAAAAATAAGTCAAGGGCTATTGCAAAGTCAGAATGCATCAGCCTCAGACATCTCTCAAATTGGGGGTGCGTACATGAACAGAGTAGCATACGTAATCAAGAAAACACAATAGTCTTGTAAGTAGGAAGTAGGAAGCCACTCAAAATCACAAGTGCACAACAGTTACATTGTAATCCTTCAAAATTTATTCTCCATCATCCATAAAAACATTGGTACAATGAGAAAAAGGTCTGAGATAAAAATTTTTGGTTTATTTCCACCCTACACCACGGCACACAGCACATAGTCAAGACCACCACCATTTCTTCAGATGCAGCTAAATCACAGGGACATCCCAAGTGGGGAGTCAGTCTTCAAGTAAATCACCAATTAGGTTCCACACAAATACTCAAAAAGAAAAAAGCACCCAAGCGAAAAATAAGTCCCAGCTTAAGTAGCCACATTAACAGTGTCAAGCGTGCAGCGCACTACAAGGTCAAAGATCATCCAGTGCTTACAATTAGCAGCCTCATGCGATATTGACAAGGCCTCCACCACAGCATTCTACAAAATGTACATTATTATTACCATACAAACAGGTTAGACCTCCAGAAAAATTCATTTGTTAGGGTGTTAAAAACTCTTTTCCACCATCTCGATCCTGATCTCGGCTAGAATTGTTACAGAATCAGTAACTTTTCAGTTCATGGAATGGTAAGCATTGATCGGTCAGCAATTCATCATTTTCATCCTCACATCATTCTCAATAGCAATTTTCAAACATGATTCTACAGAGCAGGCTATGCCTGGTCAACCCTCCTCCAACACCAGCCTTGCCTGGCTCATACTCTACTACTTCTCAACAACTACTTGTCGTCATCGCCCTCTGTGATTCTGAGTTCCTGCAGTGGTTCTGATACTTGTTGGTCCTCTTGGTCTTCCTCTTTAAGTCCAGTGGTCTTAGTTGTCGGAATCTGAAACAAGGAAAACCGACAACTTCAAAATCACTGCAATGAACCAATCCTGGAATGGACATGCATTATGTGCCAATCGTACTACTGTACTTGAACAGCATGCTTCACACTGCTGGTTTCTCCTGTGGAGTTATCCTAGCTACCCTCTGGTGCAACATCTACAGATGAGTGGTAGGTGAGTGCTGCTACCGTCTTCCACATGCAAGTTGGAACCTACAGAACACAGGTGCCCAGACAGACAGACAGACAGACGGCATGCAAGTGCACGGTTAGTTGGGGAGGGGAGGGCGGTTGGGAGGGGGAGTTGGGCGCACAAACCATTCAAGCATCTGACCTCATCATTAGCAACAATGCCTCCCTCTGTTTGTTCACTGTCTGCTGTTACAGCGTTTTCTGTTACAGCATCTTGCGTGCTGTTGGCTTGTTCCTCAGCACCAGCCTCCTCGTTAGGGGCTACGGGAGGGTCAAAGGAACACCCATCACTACTGCACCACCGAGAGGCCCAAACCTCACATGCCTCAAACCCAATGCCGGTCTGACACAACACAGACTTCATTCCAGACTTTCCTGATTAAAATTTAGGTCATGCTACAACCAAGCTGCAAGTTTCATGGCAGTTAAGACTTCAGAATCTTTGACTGCAGTCATGTCTGGAAGCTGTGAGGACCATAAACTGTCATAAAAGCAGTACATCCTCCCCAAGAATGATGCTCACTGCAGAGACTTGAGGTAAAAGCAGGAGTATAGAAATGCAGCACTGAATAATAGCTTTCTTGAGTCCACACAGTAAACCCCCATAGTAGGCATGTGGCATGCAGTAGTAGTACAATGTCATAAATTTTATTCTTATTCCATAAATACAGGTCTGCTATTCACCCATTAAACAATAAATTCAAGTGTGCATTCAATTAGTCTTAAAAATATTAATGGAACCATTACAACAAAAGCCTAAAAAAATTGAAAAAAAAAACAACAACATAAGTACGTTTTCTGTCTTAAAAATTTAACTTAACTGTAGACAACCTTGAGGATTAATAATGCAGGACTGTAAACAAAGGCACAGGCATCAAGACTTACCTTCATCTACAGCAGGCTTGTCTGCACTGCCCTCATCTGGGCCTTCTTTTGACCTACAGAACATGTCAGAAGTGTTCAAGTTACCACCTCATCTTGCCTCAATGGCCATTTGTCTTAGATGTGATACTAGAAAAATGATTCTTACTTATTCTGGATGTAGGTGACAAAAGTGACCACCTATAAAGAAGCACAATGATGAAACAAAATAACAGATGAAACAACCTAGACCAACTAAGATGTCCAAATGAAACCAAATACTAACAGTATGTAGACAGGAGTCCATTCCTCAGTTAAACTACAGAGAATATCTACTCAGCCACTTACGCGATGTAATCCTTGATTTCGTCCAGTGTGATGTCCCCGACTGAGTCCTTTGACTCGTCTGCTGTACTGTCCAGAATGCTGGTGTTCTCCAGGGTCTTCTGGATGTCAGCAAGCACACCTGTAAAACATCAACAACTCTGTACTCCTGCAAACTTCAAGTTTATCTGCCATTCTATACTGAGTACTAAAGTGACTAAAAACAAAGCAATCTTTTAAAGGTATTCTATACACATTTAGAGAATTATTGCACTGTTAGCTAACGAAAAAGCATCATGCTTTGTCTCTTAGTCTGAAGTTGGCTGCTTTATCTTTTTTTTAAATGTGAGGCCATGTTGATTTGATTATATGGATGACATCCTCTGGGAACCCCAAAACTGATGCGAGCGTGCGAATAAAAAAAAAGTTTTGCAAAAAAAAAAGTTGCTTTCATGAAATCTACGTTGTTATGAAGGTCGAACAAATGACAGAGTATGGTATGGCGAATAATCTACTCTTTAAATTCATTTCTTTGCATTTTAGTTTTCTGTTTGATTTTGGCATTCTACGACGTTGGAATCATTTTCAAATATTTTTTTTTGCAACTTTTGGTATATATTTGCTCATTTTGCAACCGTTTTGTACAATTTACAGTGTGGTTGGAAACTTTTTTTTTTTTGGAAACGGCCGAAAATTCATGCGCGCGCGGATGTCATCCATATAATCAAATCAACATGGCCTGAGGAATAAAAATGTTAGCTTACAATAGCTGGTCTTCCTACCTTCTGCTTCATGTTCAGATTCTGGCTTTTCTGGTGCTGCTGCCTCCTCAGCTGCTGCTTCTTCTGTCTCATCCTCACTGTCAGGGGACCAGGGAAGTATTTTAGTCAAAGAACCCAACATAGCTCTGTCCCTTTCCTTGTAATATATGCATGTTATACAGTTCAAGGAAGAGACACTGTGAAAACTGATCTGGACTTAACATTTTGCACATCATGCCTCTGTGCAAGACGAAAGAAGCACAGCCCTTCCTGTCAATTAGTGATTCTTGAAATACCTGTTGTTCTCCAATCCTCTCATTCAGGAACATTTGCTACACGCACTTTTGTAACATGCCTGGTAATGCAACTCTAAAGGATGTACATGTGTCTAATTCAGGTAAGATTTGGGACAGGAATTTCAGCCACAGAATCTTATCTCAACTGGACACTTGTCATTGATGTGAGTCCTGAAGCACCTTAAAATCACCATGTAAGACTGAAAGAAAGTGAGTGCGTAAGAACTAAACCACGGGCGAAGAGGCCCGGCTTTACACAGAGCATGCATTAGTGGTAATAATCTGCTTCCCCTCCTCCTGCTGTGCTGGTACCATGCAAGAGGAAAGACAGAACAGGGAGGAAACTTAGCCAAGAG